TGGGGGGTCCCTCAGCCTGGCCTGTGCCCTCTCACAGACTGGGACCCCTCGGGGGATGACCATCTGCTGGCTTAGGCCTGCTCCCCGTGGGATTGGGCCTAAGCTGGCAGTCAGACATCCCCCTGGCAGCCCCAGAGTCCTCAGGGGATGTCCAGTTGCCAACGGGGAACAGGCCTAAGCTGCAGTCTGACATCCTTAGTGCTGCTGAGGAGGCAGGAGAGGCTCCCACCACCACCACTGTATTGGCAGCCATCAGCCTGGTTTGTGGCTGAGCAGAGCTCCCCCTGTGGGAGCACACTGACCACCAGGGGGCAGCTCCTGCATTAAGCGTCTGCCCCGTGGTGGTCAGTGTGTCTCATAGTGACCAGTCATTCCCAGTCGTTCTGCTGTTAGGGTCAGTTTGCATATTACCCTTTTATTATATAGGATAGAGGCCTGGTCCATGGGTGGAGGCCAGCTGGTTTGCCCTAAAGGGTGTCCAAGATCAGGGTGGAGGTCCCCACTGGGGAACCTGGCCAGCCTGGGTGAGGGGCTGATGGCTGTTTTCAGGCTGGTCAAGCCCCCCCCCCCCCCAGTGGGGACCCTCACCCCAAGGAGGTTTGGCCAGCCTGGGTGAGGGGCTGATGGCTGTTTTCAGGCTGGCCACAGCCCCTTTAGGGTGGGGGGTCCCCACTGGGGTGCCTGGCCAGGCTGGGTGAGGGGCTGAGGGCCGTTTTCAGGCAGGCCAAGCCCCTCAGTGACGAAAGCTCCCAGCCTCTCCTTTCTTTCATTTGTTTTATTCTGAGATTTATTTACCTTCTATAATTGAAACTTTGCTGCCTTCAGTGGAGCTCAGAGCCAGCCAGGATGGGCGGGAAGCTTGGCTTCATCACTGGAGCAACCAAGCCTCCTGCTCGCTCCAGCTCCGTGGCTGCCAGCCGCCATCTTGGTTGGGTTTATTTGCATATAGTCGCTCTGATTGGCTGGTGGGCGTGGCTTAAGGCATAGTGAAGGTATGGTCAGTTTGCATGTTTGTCTTTTATTAGATTAGATCATTACGTCACTGATACACTTCTTTGTGGATCACCTGTCATTTTAAACAGCAGCAGACTCTTACTCTTCTATCTGGCTAGTTCATGTTTTCTTTTATAATTATTCAAGAACTAGAGGCCCGGTGCACAAAAACTTATGCACTCAATGGGGGGGGGGGCCCTCAGCCTGGCCTGTGCTCTCTCACAGTCTGGGACCCCCTCAGGGGATGACCACTTGCTGGCTTAGGCCCACTCCCCAGGGGATTGGGCCTAAGCTGGCAATCAGACATCCCTCTGGCAGCCCAGGAGCCCTCGGGGGATGTCCACTTGCCAGCAGGGAGCAGGCCTAAGCTGCAGTCTGACATCCTTAGTGCTGCTGAGGAGGCCGGAGAGGCTCCTACCACCACCGCTGTACTGGCAGCCATCAGCCTGGCTTGTGGCTGAGCAGAGCTCCCCATGTGAGAGCACCCTGACCACCAGAGGGCAGCTCCTGCATTAAGCGTCTTCCCCGTGGTGGTCAGTGTGTCTCATAGTGACCAGTCATTCCCAGTCATTCTGCTGTTAGGGTCAGTTTGCATATTACTCTTTTATTATATAGGATAGAGGCCTGGTGCGTGGGTGGGGGCCGGCTGGTTTGCCCTGAAGGGTGTCCCGGATCAGGGTGGTGGTCTCGCTGGGGTGCCTGGCCTGCCTGGTTGAGGGACTGATGGCTGTTTGCAGCTGGTCACACCCCTTTTAGGGTGCGGGTCCCCACTGGGGTGCCTGGCCAGCCTGCAAACAGCCCTCAGCCCCTCACCCAGGCTGGCCATGCCCCCCAGTGGGGACTCTTTCCATGGGGGCGTGGCCAGACTGGGTAAGGGGCTGAGAGCCATTTTCAGGCTGGCCACACCCCTTCAGGGTGGGGGTCCCTGCTGGGGGGCCTGGCCAGCCTGGGTGAGGGACTGAGGGTTGGTTGCAGGCCTCTCCTTCAGTGGCCGGCCTGGGCGGGCAGGAAGCTTGGCTTTCTCCAATGCCAGGGGCAACCCAAGCCTCCTGCCCTCTCCAGTTGGCTCCGTGGCCACCACCATCTTTGTCCTGCTAATTTGCATATTCACTTCTGATTGGCTGGTAGACATCTCAAAGTGACAGTTCATTTACATATTTCTCTTTTATTAGTGTAGATGTTTCTCTCTCTCTCTCGCTCTCTCTCTCTCTCCTCCCTTCATCTCTGAAATCTATAAAAATATATTTTTTTAAAAAAGAAAATAGATTTTTTAATTGGAAGATCATTATTGACCACACTGTTTTTGTGTAGATATTTTCAATGACCAAGGCTTAAACTTTGTTTAAAGCCACAATAATATATCACATACTCACTAATTATGATTGTGATTCATGTTAGTCACTAAAAATGACATTTTTCTGTATGTCCTATCTCCCAAGTTGAAGAAATAAATAGAAGTGTGTATGTTACTGAAGTCACAGATGAGTACTCACAAGGATGAGATAAAGAGTGATTACTAAATACTTAATGTTCTCTCTTGTTCTCATGATTTGCAGCTCCTCAGTGGGTTGTGCTCTTCCACGAAGACGCTGCTGTGCATACATTACCATTGGAATGATGTGCTTTTTCATTGGAGTTGGATTAACTGTGAGTATTACTTTCCTCTCAACTTTATCACAATTAAATGAAGAGCCTGCCTCCCTGGCATACCGGGGCCAGAACCTTCTGAAGGCCTATGGGCAATTGGGGAAGTTCAGTCCATGGACCTGTTTTAGTACAGCTTACCCACCCAAGGGAAATGGTATCTTGGGACCCCGCTGAAGGTCCTTGGCACTGGGACTTTACTATCCATTTAAGGGAAGCCCATTTGTTTTCACTTAATGCCAGAACCAACCTGGCCATGGCCAAAGCCAAAGCAAACTCAGTCAGCTATGGAGGTCTGCAAAACCCATCTTCTCCTTGTTCAAGTGAAGCAGAGGTTGTTGTCATGTGAGTGGCTTGTTTTCAGAGGATGCTGAAGCTAAGCAGTTGGCATGGGGGTATCATGGGGAGAGGAAGGGCTGATCTGCTTTGCTGCCATTTACTTTCCAGGCTCCTTTGTTGCACCTGTGCACGTATCACTCACCAGGTGAAATTATACAGATTAAGTTCCTTTTAGTAATAACATGTTTTAGTTGGGGTTTTTTTTTTTTTTTTTGCTTACTTCATAAAATTTATAGCTATAATAGCAGCATCTTAATAATTTTAACCTGTGAGTGATAATCAAAAGTATACCAACTCATTTTATAGGGATTTTGTGGCCCCAAGAATATTGTTCAGAAAAATCATCTGTGAACAAACACAAGTTCTCCAGTTGATTATTCAGGATGGTTTCTTTGTATTTTAGTGGTAATTCCAGTTTCATCCTTGGAGCGTGTCTGTGTAACATCCACTTACTCTGCCACCATTTTTAATCTCCCAACACAAGTTATCTAAGTAGATAATATTTTTTTTAAGTTTCCAACCTTTTGTATTTATATTGCTTTCTATTTTAGGTTGGCACCCAAGATTTTGCAAGGCGATTTCATGCAACCTATGTTTTGTGGGCAATTGCATATCTCTTAGGCTTGATCTGCCTTATCCGAGCATGCTATTGGGGAGCCATAAGAGTGAGCTATCCAGAACACAGTTTTGCATAAGCTTGCTTATGAGCAAGTGAATCAGGTGAGAGTATCTAGCAGTTTTTGATAAGCTGCTCTGGACTCTTTAAATCATTTATCCTCATGGATTCCATTCTGGTATATGTATAAAGTTTCAAGACTTTGGGAGTCTTTTATGAACAAATGCTCATTGCACTACATTATATGCAAATGATAGTTTGTTTTGCTGCTAGGTTTTCAAGCTCTGAATAATAAAGCTGTGTCTTCATGTCCTTTTACATCTTTAAACATGTTTTTGGATTTGCCACTAAGCATTAGATCACCTTTCATTTTTAAATAGTTATTCCATTACTTGCTGATCTGTGAGTATTACCAAGAAGTATTTATAAATGTTTCTATGTATACTTACATTTTAACTACCATATCAAAATTGCCTGCTTTAAAATCTAAGCAATATGCATTTTGCTTGAACTGCTTTAAGATCATAGTGACCTTATTCAGGAAAAGAATTTGAGTGTACCTTCAAATACTTGACATTCTTGTCAGATAAAAACCATTTATAGATACTGTTTGCTTGTTTTTTGTTGTTTGTAGAAAGATACACTATTTTGGTAGTAATTTAAAATACAATAATGAAAATATTTATTTGTCCACAGTTAAAGATGATGTTGGATAAATGCATTTTTTTCCTCAGAGATCACAGGACTTTTGTCTTTTATTTTGTCTGTTGTTTTATTTGCCAATTATATAAGTTCTGGTCTAGATTTATGATTTTAATGTCATAAAATCATAAATGTATTTCTGTATGTATTTCTTTATAATGCCTGAAGGAAGCATTTTAAATAACATGTTTTATAATACTTAACCACTTAAACAAAGATATATGTACATTTGCTTGACCTCTTCTTCATTAAACATGGTAAATGTTTCCTATTGGGATCATCAGGGACTACTTCTGTGTGAAGGGAGCCTGTGCATTTTATACTAGCTAATATGTTGAGATTCGAAGCAGTTACTCTTACCATTTTTCTCAAATATAGCTTTTCAAGTAATCAAAAATTTATTCATGAAAATAGATTACAGACAAAAAACAACAGTTTTCAAAGAATTTACTAGGATGAAAAAGAAATTGCTTAGTTGAAAAACAATGTTCTAAAGCCCTTAAAGCAGAATTTGAATGAGATGATCTGAGTGAATTAATTGGCTCTTCCAGGGACAAGAACATGTTAATTTATTTATGTTCCCAATTAGTACAAAAAATGTGCTCATCAAACAATTTGGAAGAAAATACATGTAAACTTGAAAGAGTAAATGATCTGTATTATAAAAGGTCAGTGGCCCTAACGCTGTAACGCCATAATGACCAAAAGGCCAGTCACCAGGAGGTGCATTGATGGGTCTCGCTGCGCTGCGGGTCTCGGTCTCGCGGCATGGCGGGTCTTGGGTCCTGCGGCGGGTCTGGGAACTCGCACAATTTTGCGCGCTGGGCCTCTAGTAACTACATAAATGTGGTAGCTCAGGATTACATGTACCTTTGAAAGTACAGTAATAAAGATTATTGTTAAAAAAACTACCTTGTTATATTCCATTTTTTAAAAAAATAAGATGTAATTTCCAAAATTGCCTTGAGATCTTATTCTGAAGTTTTCATGTTTAAGAACATATATTTCTTTATATATAATATTCACTTATTTTTTCTAGTATTTTCATGGTTTCATTTTAAAAATGTAGATTTCATATCTATTTATAACATACTTGATGTAAGGTATGAAATAAGAATCTAAATTATTTCTTATCTTATTGGTTAACTAATTGTAATAGCATTATACATTAAATAATCCATTATTTTCCTATTCATTTGAAATCTCATTTGATTATAGGGTGGGGCAAAGGTAGGTTTATAGTTGTTTGTATGGAAAATAATACACTGATCCTATCTAATAAAAGAGAAACATGGTAATTGGCGTACAACCGCTACCCTTCCCATTGGCTAATTAGCATGATATGCAAATTAACTGCCAGCCAAAATGGTGGCTAATTTGCATACATAGGCTCCAGGTGGCAGAGCGAAGCCTGGGGAGGACGCAGGCGTTCTGCCTCAACCCACTGGTGGAGGGCCTCTGGGCCTGCTTGGTCAGCACTGCGGGGGGGGGGGGGGGGGGGGGGGGCGGGGGGGGAGCAGAGACACAGGCCACAGGGGGGCCCGCACCCAGAAACCCCAAGCCCTGCCTCAGCGCTGGGGTTGGGGGAGCAGAAACACAGGCTGCGGGGGGAGGGGCGCACCTAGTTGCCCCAAGCCCCGCCTCGCACTGCGGTTGGGGGAGCAGAGACAGAGCCCATAGGGGGACCAGCACCCAGCCACCCCAAGCCCCATGGCCCCGGGGGCGCTGGGGCCGCTGGGGTCAGAGTAGCAGAGACACAACCCACAGGGGAACCAGCACCCAGCCACCCCAAGCCCCTGCCTCAGCGCTGGGGTAGGAGGAACAGAAACACAGCCCTCAGGGGTCCCGGCAGCCAGTGGCCCCAAGCCCCGCCTTGGGCTGGGGTCAGAGGAGCAGAGGCACAGCCCGCAGGGGGGCCGGCACCCAGCAGCCTCAAGCCCCACCTTGCCGCTGGGGTCAGAGGAGCAAAGACACATCCTGCAGGGGGGGCAGCACCCAGCAGCCCCAAGCCCCGTGGCTGAGGAGGCTCTGGGGCTGCTGGGGCTGCTGGGGACGCTGGGGCCAGAGGAGCAGAGACACAAGCCTGCAGCGGGGCCCAGCACCCAGCAGCCTCAAGCCCCACCTGGGCGCTGGGGTCAGAGGAGCACAGACACAGCCCGCAGCGGGGCCGGCACCCAGAAGCCCCTAACCCCAAGGCCGCAGAGGCACTGGGGCCACTGGGGCTGCAGGAGACGCACAAACCGGCAGGAAACCTGTGGAAAGGGAGATAAACTATCATAACTATATCTCTCTTTCCACAAGATGAGAAAACTGACCCTGATTATTTAGTGATATGGCCCACGCCTTTCTACAAGCACAGGGTATATTATGATCACTCCCAGGAAGGTCTGGTCAGAATACTGTCTCCAGGGAATAAGGCTACTGTGGCAAATTATCTGAGAGAGGAAACAAGCTTTTGTTGGGTTTATTCTGAAGGTCAGAGAACAGACCACCCCAACATATGCCATGTTGTTATATTGACGATATTGACCTGCAGATGCTTGAAAAACAGCAAATGCAAGGAGAGGTTTTCACTGAAGTCTCCTCTGCCTAAAATCGGACCCCCCAAAAGGCTCCCTTGATGGGAAAAGTGCCATCAGCCAGTGAAGACTGACTCCTGTCACAGGACAGGAGACTAGAAGTTGACATCACATCCAAACTTTGTTACAAACTATCTCCCCCACCCCCATTCATCTTTCCTAAAAATCATGTACTCTCCTCTAAGAGGCCTACATCTTCCGTCCCCTTTCCCTAGGAAGAAGGTATTTAAATCTGGATTCTAAGCCACTTTGGGAAGTTATTCATTTTTCTCTGGGATCTCCCACATATACACGAGGTACACATGTTAATGAACTTTGGTTTTTCTCTTGGTAATCTGTCTTTCATTACAAGGGCCCCCGCTAAGAACTCAGAAGGGTAGAGGAAAACTATTTTTCCTCCTCCATAATTCTATCTCGGGAAATCAAGTCCTGGGCTGAACAGTGAGCTTGGCTCAAGTGCCAAGCAGTCCCGGCTGAGGGGAGGGAAGCTTCCAGGGGGAAATCAATGATACTGGCATCAAAGTAGGACAGAGGGCACACGCATGGTTGCTGGTGGAGTTTAAAGTGGTTCAGTATTTTTGGAGGATGATTTGGCAAAATGGATAGAAATGTCCAAGGTACATCCAAGAGTCTTCCAGGAATCTCATCTGCTGAGATAAAGCACGAGTGCGTAAGCCCTGGTCAGAACCCAGGATGCTACTGCGGGCTCCCCTTCCATGATGGGAAAACCTGCTAACAACCTGCATTTTTAGGCAAGGTGGCATCTATACTAATAAAAAGGTAATATGCTAATTAGACTGAACATCTTCCAGACGAGGTTCCGACATCCTTCTGGACAAAGCCATGGTGGCAGGGCTGAGGCAGAGGCGGTTAGAGGTGATCAGGCAGGCAGGGGAGAGCAGTTAGAAGGATCAGGACAGCAGGGGAGAGCAGTTAAGGGTATCAGACCATCAGGGGAGAGCAGTTAGAGGGATCAGGCCAGCAGGGGAGAGCAGTTAGGGGGATCAGGCCATCAGGCAGGTGAGTAGTTAGGTGCCAGCAGCCCTGAGGGGTCCCAAATTGGAGAGGGTGCAGGCCAGGCTGAGGAACTCCCCGCTCCCGTGCACGAATTAGGGGCAATCAGGCGGGCATGCAGGTGAGTGGTTAGGAGACAGCAGTCCAGGAGTGTGAAAGGGATGTCCAACTGCCTGTTTAGACCTGATCCCGGCAGTCGGACATCCTGGGATCAGGCCTAAACCAGTAGTCAACATCACCCAAAGGGTCCGAGATTGGAGAGGGTGCAGGCTGGGCTGAGGGACACCCTCCTCCCATGCACGAATTTCGTGCACTGGGCCACTAGTTAATAAATAATAATACAAGAATAAATTCTGTGTTTCACTTTTTTGCTTGGTTCTGGACCACTACAATAAAGTGAATATCACATTAAAGCAAGTAACTCAAATTTTTTGTTTTCCCAGGGCATATAAAAGTTTATGATCTATTATAGATATTAAATGCACAATACATTATGTCTAATAAACAGTGTATAATAAACATACCTTAATTTAAAAATTCTTTATTGCTATAAAACGCTGACCATAGCCTTCAGCGAGTCCCGATCTTCCTGCTGATGGAGGGGCCTTGCCTTGACGTGGTGGCTGCTGAAGGCTGGCAACTTCTCAAAATACGACAGTACTGAAGTCTGCTGCAGCGACTGACTCTCCCTTTCATGAGCGACTTTGCAGCATGCGAGGTTGTTTGACAGCATTTTATCCACAGAACTTCTTTCAAAATTGGAGTCCATCATCTCAAACTCTGTTGCTGCTTCATCAACTAAGTTTTGGAATATTCTACATCCTTTGTTGCCATTTCAGCAATTTTCACAGTATCTTCAGAAATGGATTCCTCCCCAAGAAACCACTGCTGTTGCTTATTCTTCAGATGCAATTTCTCATCCATTAAACTTTTATCATGAAATTGCTGCAATTCAGTCCCATATTCAGGCTCTAATTCCAGTTCTCTTGACGTCTTCATATCTGCAGCTACTCTCTCCACTGAAGTCTTGACCCCCTCAAAGGCATCTATGAGGGTTGAAATCAACTTCTTCCAAACTTTGTTAATGTTGATATTTTGACCTATTCCCATGAATCATGAATGTTCTTAATGATATCTGGAATGGTGAATCCTTTCCAGAAGGTTTTCAGTTTACTTTGCCCAGATCCATCAGAGGAACCACTATCTATGGCAGCTGTAGCCTTACAAAATGTATTTTGTAAATAATAAGACTTGAAAGTTGAAAGTACTCCTTGATTCATGGGCTGCAGAATTGATGTTGTGTTCGCAGTCATGAAAACCACATCGATCTCCTTGTACATCTCCATCAGAGCTCTTGGGTGACCATGTGCCTTGTTAGTGAGCAGGAATATTTTGAAAGGAATCTTTTATTCTGAGCAGTAGGTCTCAGCTATGGACATACATTTTCTTTCTTTCTTTTTTAAATATATTTTTATTGATTTCAGAGAGGAAGAGGGAGAGAGAAATAGAAACATCAATGATGATAGAGAATCACTGATCAGCTCCCTCCTTGCACGCCTCCTACAGGGGATCGAGCCTGCAACTCAGGCATGTGGCCCTTGGCTGGAATCGAACCTGGGACCCTTCAGTATGCAGGCCAATGCTCTATCCACTGAGCCAAACCAGCTAGGGCTGTGGATGTAAATTTTCAGCAACCATGTTACTTACAACAGGTGTGCTGTCATCCAGGCTTGATGTTCCATGTATACAGCAAAGGCAGAGGACATGTAGCACAATTCTTCAAGACCCTAGGATTTTTAGAATAGTAAGTGAGCACTGTCTTCAACTCAAGTCACCAGCTGCCTGAGCCCCTCACAAAACCCCTGGACATGCTGTGGAGGCCATTCCTGACCGGCAACACCATGGGCCTGTCCTTCAAAGCTCTGAGCCAGCACAGACTGCTCGGCTCTGGCTATGAAAGCCTAGGTGGCATCTTCTCCCAGGAGAACATGTAACTTTTCTTAATCAACGATCCTTCCCCAATGTTTCAATTTATCTATAATATGCCTATGACATATATGTGTATGTATTTGTTATTCTTGCTTGGGTATATATTTTCTGCACTTATATATATAAAATAGCTGTTTAGACATCTCAATATGTTTTTTTACTGATTTTTTGAGAGAGAGGGAGAGGGATAGAGAGAAACATCAATGAGAGAAACATTGATCGATCCACTGCCTCCTGTATATGCCCCACACTGGGGATCGAGCCCACAACCTGGGCATGTGCCCTGACCAGAATTGAACCATGACCTCTCAGTTGCTGGGTCCATGTTCAACCACTGAGCCACACTGGCAGGACAGACACCTCAACTTAAATATCCTATTATAATGTCACTAGAGGCCTGATGCATGAAAATTCATGCAAGAGTAGGCCTTTCTTCCCCCAGCTGCCAGCACCGGCTTCCCTCCGGCACTGGGACCCGGGCTGGCTTCCCCTGGGTCACCTGCAGGCATCCGGAACCCAGCTGGCTTCCCTCTGGCCCCAGCTTCGTCAGGAAGGACATCCGGAATGATGTCTGGAAGACGTCTGGTCTAATTAGCATATTACCCTTTTATTATTATACTAGAAGCCCGTTGCATGAAGATTCGCGCAATAGGCCTTCCTTCCCCTGGCTGCTGGCACCTGTTTTCCTCCAGCACCCGGGACCCAGGCCTTTGGTCTGGCCACAGCGAAGAAGTCTTCAGTCTTCACTCTGTACCTGTGTATGCAAATACTGCCATCTTTGTTGGATTCATTTTCATAGTCACTCTGATTGGCTGGTGGGCATAGCAGAGTGATGCTAATTTGCATGCTTCTCTTTTATTAGTATAGATATTTACAAGTCCCAAACTGAACTCATTTCCTTCCCCAAACCTGTTCTTCCTCTTGCATCCCCTGTTGCTATGTCGCCACCAGCTAATTACTCACTTGTTCTCCTATATGAGAAACCCAGGAGTCACCCTCCATTCTCTCTCATTCACACCTTCCATCCACTGTCACTAGACTCCACTATTTCACCTCCCAACTTTCCCTGACCTGTTCCTTCCTGCAATTATTGCAAACACCTCCAAGGAAGCCTCTCTGTGCCAGGTTTAATATTGCCATGCCCTCTCCAAAAATCCACCCTTCCTACTGCTGACAGGGTGATCTTTCAAATATTAAACACAAAACCAAAAACCAACCTGTAAAAGGTTCAAAATGCGATTCATGCACCGCTCCTGTCCCATGCCCACCCACACACCTGCTCATTTCACCCCTCTTCCTGCAGAAAGCCGCCTGGCAGAGTTCTGGAGGGCGTGTCCTGCAGCCCTCATCTGTCCCAGGGTGGGCATCAACCTGCAAAGAATGACAATAAAGGGTTCGATTTGGACGGAGTTGCCTCGAATAATTTTGTTTTTCCTAGGACGGCTAACTGCCAGACAAAGAATCGCCTCCTGTGGGCCCGCCCCGCAGCTGATGAGAAGGTGAGGGCAGCACGCTGGACTCCTGGGCCGGGCGCCGTTCTCCTCGCTGGCACCGCTCAGGGCTCAGGACGGGGCGGGGGCGACTGTGGGCAGCGCCTGGGGTCCCAGGGCTGACTCGCCCCGCGCTCTGAGAGCCTCTCAGCACCTCGGACACCGCTCAGCACCCCTCCCAGCCCCCAGACCTCTCTGGCCTCCTAGCCCGCACTCAGGCTCTCTAGGTCGTCGTGGCCCCGCCCCCCACGTGTCCCCGCGCCTTGGCCCCGCCCACAACCGACCCCGCGCCCCTCACAGCCGCCCCGCCCCGCGCCTTGGCCCCGCCCACAACCCCGCCTCCGCGCCCCTCAGGCCGCCCTCGGCCTCGCCCCTGTGTCCCCCGAACCGCCCTCGAGCCCTCCCACCCCAGCTGCCCGCGGCCCCGCCCCTGTGTCCCCCCAGCCGCCCTCGCCCGGTCCCGACACCCCGGACGCGCTGCGGAGGCCGTTCCCCAACGGGCAGCGGTGCGGTCGGCCGCCGCCTCGGGGCTGAGCTGGCGACCCGCTGCCGAGTCCGGACGTTGAGGCGGTGGGTGTGGGAAGCCGCGCCCGCTGGGGCGGAGGCGCCGAGAGGGCGGAGCCGGTGGGCGCCCTTTGGGTGGCGGGACGCGGGCAGAGGGAGGAGCGGGTTGAGAGGAGGAGGGCCCGGCGAGGCCGTGAGAACCGCCCTAACGGGGCCCACGCCGCGGAGGCGCCCGCGCCCTGGCCGGGCCCGGCCCGGCCCGGCCCGGCTCCGGGAGGCTGGGTCGGAGCCGCTCGGTCGCCCGCGCCGGGCCACGTCCTGACGGATCTGGGGCCACAGCGGTTCCCGCGGCTGCAGTTTCGTTACCGACGGACTAGACGACAGGCCGACGGGCACCGACCTGGTCCCGGTCCGTGAGAGAGGACGGCCCCGCGGGAAGGAGGAGCCAGAGGAGAGCGAGACGGTCGTGAAGACGCGAGGACGTGCGCCCAGTGGCGGCGGAGTCCGGGCACCGGCTCCGTCTGTGTCCGCGTGTCCGAGGCCCTCGGGGCCGAGCCTCCGTGCCGCCCGCGCGGGGCGCTCCACGTCGGGCAGCCGCGGGCGCCAGGGCGCGGAGCGGGAGACGCGCGGGAAGCGGATTCTCGGCCGAATGGGAGCGGGTGGGCGGCGGCCCGGGGGCCGCTCGGCTTCGTGCTTCAACCGTGGAGTGTCGGTTCCTCCCCCTCCGCCCTCCGCCCTAGTGACTCCTTCTCGGGGGACGGGCCCCACGGGGTCGCGCGCCCTCGGCGCTGGGCCGTCGGGGGGGTCAGGGGGTCGGGGGGGGCCGTGGGAAGTGGAGGTGGGAGCCTGGGCTTCCCGCGGCGCCGGCTGCTCCCATCTCGCGGGACGCGCTCCTCCGGGGGAAGGTGAGCCCCGGAGAAGCGGTTGCGGACTCGTAGCGACGGGAGGGGTGTGGCGGGGGGTGGACGGGCGTGGCGGCGGCCGGACTCAGCGCCGCGGAGGGTCGCCCTCCCCCGGGCGGGAGTCGGGCTGGGCCGTGAGGCGGGATCCGGGGACGCGCCTGTGGGACGCGAGGCAAGTGCATGAGTTTGCGAGAGGCGGGTGCGGGCGGGCAGGGAGTTGCCATCACGGGGTGGGCGAGGTCCAGAGCCGCCTGGGGAGGGCCCTGCGTCTCCTGGGAGGGGGCTGAGGACACCCCCGAAGGTGAGGGGGCGCCCAGGGCGCAGGCGCGGGGAGGGTGGGGGGCCGCCTGGTTCCCCGCGGCTCTCGTGCCCCTCGCCCCCGCGCTCACACACTAGCTGCCTTCACAGGAAGCGCGCGGCTGTTTGCATAGATGATGAAGCAGATGGGTTATCTTGTCCAAAAGATAAAATTGCGCATTTCCCTTCTAAAGTATGGAACCTCAAGGTCTTGGTGATAATGGAAACAAAAAAATTGATTGGCAAATCGCTTCAACCAGCAAGACCTGTTCGTCATCTGACTTCTCCCTCTGGTGAGTCCTGTCGGGCACACATCTTTAAATATTAATTGGTTAATGGCTGATTAGCATTTAAAAGGCTAAATTATACATAAAGTAATTGTTTATGGTGAATATTAAAGAAATGCTGAAAACTAATGATCTCAGAAGAATTTAAAAGTATTACCAAAGGAAAGAATTCTTAATAGTCTACCAGACCAACAAAAGTAGCAATAATAAACCTGATGTGAGAGCAACTTTGTGTATTTTTCATGGTTAACTGGCTTCTGGGCAAAATGGCTCAGTGTAAATTGTGCTGTGATTATGATCACTGCAGTGCAGTCATGCTGGAGAGAGAATTAACCTTTAAAAAAATATACCCAACTGCAGGGAAGAACACAGCCATGGTCAGCAGCTCCTTTCTGTGACCCTGTCCCCTGTGCAGATTCAGGGTCACTGACCCTTCCCTCCAAGGCCACTGCAGGGATCAATGTGGGGGGGTGGGGCAGGGAGCCCTGATTCCTCATTGAATTATATCCTTTTAAGATCCAGACAAGAGTGGGGTTCTATTAGGCAAAGTTTAGTAAATCAGAAATTATTTTGGCTTTTCTCAACATACTTCTGCATTTCTTGTCTATTTCACGTCCCCAAAGAAATATTTTTCTTTAAAACCCAGATTAAATTATTTTCTTTTGTGAAGACTTCCTTGATGTCTCAAAGCCCACCCAGCTCTCCCTTGGCCTTTTCTCGTAACATCTCATAGGACTTACTCTTTACTGTCGTCATTTATGAGCTTGTGCTTTAAAATAGACTGTGGCCCCTTTTATCTCTGAACTCTTTTCACACTTATATACCTTGTCGAACACAGTGGCTGATATTGTATAGTGTTGAATAAATGAACTATCAAAAAACATTTTAAAACAGTGCTTAGAATGTCCTGGACAATTAAAGTTTTTAGGTGATAGTATATCATTTATTGAAAACATAGATATTTAAAACAGGTGTTTTTTTTCTCTCCTAACAGGAGCAGTATTCCCTTTCAACTTTCAGAATGAATATCCATGCAACACTCAGTACTTGCAAAGCGGAGTTAGCCGAGTAGGTCTTAGAAATTACGGTAACATGAAGTGTTACAGGCTGGGAAGTAATATCGTCAGATGGCTGTTGTGTGTCAGCTACTTTGCTAAGTGCTTAAATACTTTTTAAAACTTTATATATTTCAAGCATTTCTAAAAAGGATAAAACACTTACTATACTTGTTGCCCAGCATTTTCAAATCGAAACCTTTTGCTATATTTTAGGAAATTTTAAAAACCTTGTAGATGTATAAAGCTGCCACATGTTTCTCTTCCAACCCATTCCTTCCCATACTTCTCCAAAATAACTGTCCTCAATGCCATTGTTTCCATGATTACATCAGTACTTTTGCTACAACAAATAGAATTTTTTTAATCATTTTATATAAATAGCATTGTACCCACCTTTTTTTTTTTTTTTTACATTTAGGTTTATATTGTTAAAATTCTAATTTAATTTTTTGGCTAAGTGAAATAATCACCAAGGTTAAAATTAAAAACAGGCAAAATGGCCTTTAGTGAAAAGTTTCCCTCAAGGCTCCATCCCCCACTCACCTATTTCCTCTGACCAGAAGTAGCCATTGTACCCATTTCTTATCTAGATACTTCCAGAAATGGTGTTCATTCTTATAGTTTATTAAATCTTGCAGTCAGTTAAGAATTTGTAAAACCAAATCTTTGGCATTGTCAAAATTCTATTTTTTCTGATGACTTATTCTGATCTCTCAGTAATGTAGGTTTGCCACCATTGCTCCTCATTGTGTTATAGGTTGGAACCCTCTGGCTTTAGGCAGAGTAATTATACTAGACTTTGCAGATATCTAATGAATGAATGGGCTACAACTTGCTAACAGTGATTGATAGAGCAGAAATAATTCATTTATTTTTTTAATTTTGTTTTTTTAAATCTTTATTTTCAGATTATTACAGTTGTTCCTCTTTTTACCCTCATAGCTCCCCTTCACCCAGTTCCAACCCCACCTCCTGCCCTTACCCCCCACTGTCCTTGTCCATTGGTGTACAATTTTTATTTTTGTGTATGGTGTAAGTTGGTGGTCTAGTTTCATTTTTTTGCATGTATCTGTCCAGTTTTCCCAGCACCATTTATTGAAGAGACTGTCTTGCTTCCTTTGTCAAACATTAATTGACCATATTGGTTCGGGTCGATTTCTGGGTTCTCTGTTCTATTCCATTGATCTATGTCTGTTCTTGTGCCAGTACCAGGCAGTTTTGAGAACAGTGGCTTTGTAATAACCGCTTGATATCTGGTATTGAGATACCTCCTACTTTGTTCTTCTTTCTCAGGATTGCTGCAGCTATTCTGGGTCCTTTTTTATTCCATATGAATTTTTGGAGAGTTTGTTCTAGGTCTATAAAATATGTCGTTGGTATTTTAATGGAGATTGCATTGAATCTATAGATTGCTTTGGGTAGTATGGACATTTTAATGTTGATTCTACCAATCCATGAACACAGTATGTTCTCCTATCTGTTCATGTCTTCCTTTATCTCTCTATCTCTTTTTTCAACGTTCTGTAGTTTTCTGAGTAGAGGTCTTTTACCTCTTTAGTTAAGTTTATTCCTAGGTATCTTAATTTTTTTGGTGTGATGATAAATGGGATTGCTTTTTTAGTCTCTCTTTCAGTAAGTTCATTATTGGTGTATAGAAATGCCATAGATTTCTTGGCATTAATTTTGTATCCTGCTACATTGCCGAATTCATTTATTAAGTCTAATAGTTTTTTGATGGATTCTTTAGGGTTTTTTATGTACAATATCATGTCATCTGCAAATAAGGACAGTTTTACTTCTTCTTTTCCAATTTGGATGCCTTTTATTTCTTCTTCTTGTCTAATCGCAATGGCTAATACTTCCAGTACTATGTCGAACATGAGTGGTGAGAGTGGGCATCCCTGTCTTGTTCCTGTTCTTAGGGGAAATGGTTTTAGCTTTTTGCCCATTGAGTATGATGTTGGCTGTGGGTTTGTCATATATGGCTTTTATTATGTTGAGGTATGATCCTTATATTCCCACTTTGCTGAGAGTTTTTATCAAAAATGGGTGTTGGATTTTGTCAAATGCTTTTTCTGCATCAACTGATATGACTTTGTGGTTTTTATCTCTCAATTTGTTTATGTGATGTATTACGTTTATTGATTTGCGGATATTGTACCATCCTTGCATCCCTGGGGTAAATCCTACTTGGTCATGGTGTATGATCTTTCTGATGTACTGCTGGATTTGATTTGCTAAGATTTTGTTGAGGATTTTGGCATCTATGTTCATGAGGGACATTGGCCTGTAATTCTCTTTTATTGTGTTGTCTTTATCTGCTTTTGGTATTGGGGTGATGCTGGCTTCATAGAATGAGCTTAGAAGTGTTCCTTCCTCTTGAATTTTTTGGGATAATCTGCGGAGGATAAGTTTTAGGTCTTCCTTGAATGTTTGGTAAAACTCCCCTGTGAAGCCGTCTGGCCCAGGGCTTTTGTTTGCTGGAAGCTTTTTGATGACTGCTTCACTTTCTTCCATAGTTATTGGCCTATTGACATTTTTAGATTCTTCCTGATTAAGTTTTAGAAGGTTGTATTTTTCTAGGAATATGTCCATTTCCTCCAGGTTGTCTAGTTTGTTGGAGTAGAGTTGTCCATAGTATTTTTTAACAACAATTTGTATTTCTGTGGGGTCTGTTGTTATTTCTCCTCTTTCATATCTGATTTTGTTTATTTGGGTCCTCTCTCTTTGTTTCTTGGTGGCTAGAGGTTCATTAATCTTGTTTATCCTTTCAAAGAACCAGCTCTTGGTTTTGTTGATCTTTTGTATTGTTTTTTTGGGCTCTATGTCATTTATCTCCGCTCTGACCTTTATTATTTCCTTCCTTCTGCTTACACTGGGCTTTTCTTGTTGCTCTCTTTCTAACTCTTTGAGTTGTAGGGTTACGTAATTTATTATTGTTGTTTCTTGTTTTTTGCAGTAGGCTTGTAGAGCTATGAACTTCCCTCTCAAGACTGTTTTCGCTGTGTCCCATAGGTTTTGGATTGTTGTGTTTTCATTGTCATTTGTTGCCATGATGTTTTTTATTTCTTCTTTGGTCTCTCTGGTAACCCAGTCATTGTTTAATAGCATGCTCTTTAGTCTCCATGTGTTTGATTTTTTTGGATTGTTTTTATTACAGTTGATTTCCAGTTTTATACCATTGTGATCTGAGAAGATGCTTGATATGATTTCTATCTTCTTGAATTTGAAGAGACTTTGCCTGTGACCCAATATATGGTCTATCTTTGAGAATGTCCCATGTGCACTTGAGAAGAACGTATATTCCGTGGTTTTGGCATGAAATGTTCTGAAGATGTCAATTAATTCCATCTGATCTAGTGAGTCATTTAGGATTGATGTTTCTTTGCTGATTATTTTGTTTAGAGGATTTGTCCAATAGTGATAGTGGGGTATTAAAGTCCCCTACTATGATTGTATTACTGTCAATCTCTCCCTTGATCTCCTCCAGGAGTTTTCTTATGTATTTGGGTGCTCCTATTTTGGGTGCATATATGTTTACCAGAGTTATTTCTTCTTGTTGGATTTCTCCCTTTAGTATTATGAAGTGGCCTTCCTTATCTCTTTTTATGTCCTTCACTTTGAGACCTAATTTTTCAGATATAATTATTGCTACCCCAGATTTTTTTTTCATTTCCATTCGCCTGAAAAACCTTTTTCCATCCCTTCACCATCAGTCTGTGTGCGTCTTTTTTCTGAGGTGGGTTTCCTGTAGACAGCAGATATATGGGTCATGTTTTCTTATCCACTCAGTTACCCTATGTGTTTTGATTGGGGCATTTGATCCATTTACATTTAAAGTTATTATTGATAGATACTTGTCACCATTTTTATTCTTTACCCCTGTGTTCCTTCTTCATTTCCTATTTTTTTTCATTTTACAGCAGACCCTTTAGCATTTCTTGCATTGCTGGTTTGGTGGTAATAAGCTCCTGTAGTCCTTTTCTGTCTGTGAAGCTCCTGATTTCACCCTCAATTTTGATTGATAGCCTTGCTGGGTACAGTATTCTTGGATTCAGACCCTTCCTTAGCATGACTTTGTATATTTCATTCCATTCCCTTCTTGCCTGATGTGTTTCTGTTGAGAAATCAGTCGCTAGTCTGATCCTTTGTATGTAACTTTCTGTCTCTCTCTGGCCGTTTTTGAGATTCTTGCTTTGTTGTTGATGTTTGCCAATTTAATTATAATGTGCCTTGCCTTCGGTCTTTTGGGGTTCATTTTGTTTGGGACTCTGTGAGCTTCTTGGATTTGTGTATGAGTTTTTTTTCCCCTATATCAGGGAAGTTTTCTGTCATTATTTCTTCAAACAGGTTTTCTATTCCTTGCTCAGTTTCTCTCCTTCTGCCACCCCTATTATGCGGATGTTGTTTCGTTTCGTGTTGTCCCAAAGTTCTCTTAGGCTCTCCTCCTGCTTTTTAATTTTAATTTTTTATTTTTTTTTCTAGAAGCTGCTCTGCTTGGGTATTTTTTCCTACCTTGACTTCTAGCTCACTGATGCGGTCCTCTGCTTCTTCTAGTCTACTGTTGATGCTTTCTATTGAGTTCTTTATAGCAGTGATGTCATTTTTCATTTCTTCTTGGTTCTTCATTTCCTCTTGGTTCTTACACATAATGTTGAATTTGTCTTCCATTCTTTTCATCCACCTTATGACCATTTCTCTGAATTCTTTCTCTGACAGATTGCTTGCCTCTATTGCCTCCATTTCGTTTACTTCCTTTTCTGGTGATGCCTGTTTTTCTTTCATATGCGGGCTGTTTCTTTGTCTCCCCATGATCTCTCTTCTCCAAGTGTTTGGTTATGTAGTTCTCTCTCTGCTGCGTTGATTTAAAGGCACAAAATACAACACAACAAGGCACAACACACAAGGCACTGAACACAAATGTATTCATGATACGAATAATCCCCAATAAAGGTGACCACCAGAGCAAAGAGAATTAGGGGATAAGGAAGAAAGAAGAGAAAAGGAAAA